ATTTTGCAGATGAGAAAATGGAGACTCAGAAAAATTAAATGACTTGACCAAGGTCACACAATTAGTAAATATCAGAGACAAATCCAAGTCTAAAGCTTTCTGTACAGGACCTGCTAGGACTGATGGGAAACATGAGGTGAGGAAAATGGAAGAGTTAAGGTCCACCTCATGGTTATGAACATGAGCCATCAGGAGATGGTGGTACCTCAATAGAAACAGAGATGTTTGTGGGAGGGAGGATGGGATGGGGTGGGGTGGGGTGGGGAGGGAAAGGGGACAAGTACACCATCCGATCCCTCCACCAGGTGGGACACAGGATGTCTGATGCTGTTGTTGCTTTGAGATCGCATCTCCCTATCTTACACAAGCTGGAAGTGCAGGGGCCACTCAGGAGCTGACCCCAGTCCTGATCATCGTTGACCCACTCTGCCCTTCCAGCCTGTGCAAGATAGGGAGACCTGATCTCAAAGCAAACATAGGCATCCTTAGGCAGCTTACTGTCCCTTCCCAATCCCCTTCCTACTCCCAGGGGCTCATCATACTGGTTCTGGACTCCATGTGGATGCCCAATGGGCTTTACCCCTACTCAACTTTAGCCCTGCTGCAGCCCAGAACTTTGGACCCACCAGCCTCAGTCTCCCCACCATGGGCAGGGCACCATTGCTATCATGCCCACATTCCTCAGACTCCTAGTGAAATGTCTTCATTCACCCGAGCCCTCAGCCTCAAACGTAGCATCCTCCAGCTTTGCACATCCCACAAGGTCTCTGTTCTGTTGAAGGCAGACAATGCCAAGTGGAAGGAAAAGAAGGAGGAGGAGAAGGAGGACACCATAGTCTGTTAGGCCTTGACAGCCTCTTTTAAATAAACAGGCCTATTCTGCTCAGCCTTGAAGCAACTTGACATTAAGAAAAGGCTAGAAGGCAATTAATGGAAGGAGTCAAAAGCTAACTTAGATAATAGACCAGCCTGGGGACCTTGAAATTCAAAGAAAGAACCCAGATGTGTGCACATGTTTTATAAGTGGGGGAAAAATACCAACAGCTTTCATTGGTGGAGACTGTGATAAAGGACCATGTTGGCGAGGAGTGTTCAACCTAAATGCTCTGGAAAGTAGAGAAGGTAAGTGGGTGGGAGTCCAAGCTTGGCAAGCAGTTCATTGTAATCACAGAGGCTTGGGCTTGCAGAGGATCTCAGAGCCACCGAATCCACTCCATACCGGCGCAAGAATTCCACCTAGAGCATTCCAAGAGGTGATTGTCCAGTCGCTACTTGAACATTGCCAGTGATAGGGAACTTGCTACCTTTATAAGAAGCCCCTTCCCACACTCAAGAGCCTCAACTGCCAGTAGCTTCTTCCTAAGGTTGAATCAAGAGCTGTCTCCCTGTAACTTGGATCTGAGATTCTAGGCAGAGCTGGAAGGGGCTTTGGAGGCCAACTGGGAAGAGGTACTGTGGTCTAATGAAAAGGGCATTGGTATTGGGTGAAGTGTTGTTGCTGACATTACCTGTGTGACCTGGAGCAGGTCACTTCACCCATCTGGTCAGCTTCCTCATACACACATTGGGGGGGGGGTCTGAGTAAGTGGCCTCTGAGGTCTCTTTCAGCCCTAGATCTAACAGCCTAGGAATCTGACATCAGATCCCAGTTCTCTTACTAGGTTTGTGACTTGTGAGCAAGTTACAACCTCCCTGGGCATGTTTCTTCTCTGCCAAAAGAGGGGTTTGGGCTAAGTAGTTTTGAAAGTCCTTTCTAGTTTCAGAACCAGGACCCCATAAACCCTTTCATTTCACAGAAGAGGAATGTTATATATCTATATCTATAATTATTTTTTATTTTTGGCTAGGTAATGGGGTTAAGTGACTTGCCCAGGGTCACACAGCTAGTAAGTGTTATGTGTCTGAGGCCGGATTTGAACTCAGGTCCTCCAGAATCCAAGGCCGATGCTCTATCCACTGCACCACCTAGCTACCCTGACAGAAGAGAAATGTTAAGGTACATAGGCACCCTAGTAGTAACTGGCCAAGCCAGGATTTGAACCCTGGTCCTCTCTAGCACTATTTCCACCCATTTGTCCTAGTTCTGCTCTCTAGGTCTAAGCAGAGCAAATCAAGTCCTTTCATATGACAGTCCTTAAAATACTTGAAAAGAGCAGACATGTTCTCCCTTAAGCAGGTAAAATACCAGCATACTGGTAAAATGTTTAACAACTGGCTCTGTTAAAAAAGTGTACCCTGATACTTTTAAAAAAGATATTTTAAATTTTATAATTTTTTTATTTAAATGCATTAAATCAATTTTTAAATAATTTAAAAAAATTTTTAAATATGCCTCATTAATTTTCAAATCATCCTTGTGTGTGGGCCGTGCTAATCTCAGTGGCATCCTGACACACGTTTCAGTTTAATCTGTGTCATTAACTTTTTTCTCCATCGTTTTAAGTCTAGCTGAGAATGAGATAATACAGAGCTCAGTCAGAATAACTGGTGCTTTGAGATTTGAAGGTTTCTGAAATGCTTGGCAGACATTATCTTATTGGGTGATGAGATGTGGCTAAATAATCATTTGTGGGGGAAAAGACATCATAATAAATAACAAAATAATAAATCAAACCCCGATTCATATCATTTGCCAGATTCCTGATGTGGAAATGCTCAGATTGGAAATTTAACAATCAGTTCTGATGCCCTCTCTGCCCTCCCTGAGTCTTTTCTTCTCCAGACTAAACATTCCCAGTTCCTTCAACTCATGCTCACAGAGTATGGTTGCAGTCCCTTCACCATCCCTGTCTCAGCTCTCCTCTGTCTATGCTGCCCTATCAAAGTCCTTCCTAAAACGAGGTTTCCTAATCCCTAAGGCCAGCTGTGAGCTGTCCAAGGTGGAGCATAGCACGTTCGTCACTTCCCTTGTCCTCAGTGTTATGTCTTAATACAGTTTAAAATCACGTTGATTTTTTTTGTTTGTTTGTTTAAGGGCAGGGTGGAAGCTGTTACACTGTTGCCTCATGCTGAGCTTGCGATCCACCAACCCCCCCCCCCCCCCCCCCGTCTTTCCGCCCACAAATTGTTCTTTAGCCACATCTCATCATCCAGTGAGACAATGTCTACCAAGCGTTTCACAAACCTTCGGATCTCAAAGCACCAGGTCTTCTGATGGATGCTTTGCATCATCTCATTCTACTCATCTTCGGAGTTCAGGTAGAAACAGTCCCAGAAGAGCCTGTCATCTTATTCTTTTGTGTTCTGTGTTCTGCAGACTATTCACAGGGGGATGGAATTATTACCCCATTCTCATCGTTTTCAATGGAGTTAGTATTATTATCATCTTCCTCATCTTGTGCTTAGCCAGTGGATTTTTCAACTCCAAATGTAGGACTTTCCATTTATCTCTATTAAAATCATCTTATCAGATCAAAACTGTCCTGTCAAGATCTTTTTGGAACCTTTTTGGGATCTTTTCACAGGAAAAGACCTGTGAGTCCATACTGAAGAACATTTAGCATCAAAGAGGCTGTCTCATCCTGAGGGCTTGATTGAAACTCAGCTCTTGACCTTACTTGTCTATGGACTAATTTTGACTAATTACACCCCCTCGCAACTTTCTAGATTTTGTAATCATGCCTCAGCTGTGGCCACACACAGACATTTCCCTCAGCACCTGGGGCTTTCTCATCTTGGAACATTCCTCTGCTATACTGGCCCCCTTCTGGTGAGGGGTCTCCATTTTGGGGGGGGTTCCTAGTCTGCTCAACTTTCATTCCCCTCCTGGCTCTGTTCCTGCCTTTCTGGACTTCAACATCATCAGCCCTCATGTTCAAGCATCTTCCCTTTCTCCCTCACATTTACTCCTCCCCTTTTTCAGTGCCCTTTGTCTCATTCTCTCCCCCCATTAGATTTTAAGCTCCTTGAGGGACAGGGACTACCTCTCTTGTTGGTATTTGTGCTGCCAGCACTTAGCATAGGACCTGACACACAGTTTGTTTTATTCAGTTGATTCAGTCATGACCCCATCTGGGGTTTTCTTGACAGATACTGGAGTGATTTTTCATTTTTTTCTTCATTTGACAGATGAGGAAACTAAGGCAAACAGGGTTAAGTGACTTGCCCAGGGTCATACAGTAAGTGTCTGAGGCTGGATTTGAACTCAGGGAGATGAGTCTTCCTGACTTCATGCTTGGGACTCCATTCACTGCCCTTCACCTAGCTGCTGTTGGAGAGAAGGCTAAGGTCCAGTAAGCTGAGAGGCTTGTTCAACCTCACACGATGAGTGACTGTCCAAGCTGGGACCAGAATCCAGCAGGCTCATCACTGTACTCTACTTGATGGTATAGTGGATAGAGCTCTGGGCTTAATCAGGAAGTCCTAGGTTCAAATCCTAACTCAGCCATGTACTAGATGAGTGAGCCTGGGCAATTCTCTTTCTGTCTGGGCCTCAGTTTGCTCATCTATCCAATGAGGGAGCTGGGCTCAGAGGCCTCTAAAGTTCCCATCCACCTCTAAGTCTACTATTCTATGCCTATACTAATGGAATGTCAACTCTGGTCAATTCCAACAAGTTGAATCTGTACTCAGAGGATCTGAGATCAAATCCTGACTCTTAGTCTGTGTGAGTTTCACTGATTTATTGAACCTTTCTGGGCTTCAGTTTCCTCGTCTACAAAATGAGAGGCTCCTCAGCTTTCTTTGAACTCAAAATCTGGAATCCTATGATCTATAAACAGGGGTGGGCAGGCACTGAAACCAGGGGTCCTTAACCTATGATCTTGTTTTTAAATAACTACAGTACAATATAGTTTTCTCTACAATCTCATTTTATGAATTTAAAAACATGATTCTAAGAAAGGGTCCATAGGCTTCACTAGACTGTCCGCTCAAGGGGTCCAGGTCACAGAAAAGATTAAGAACCCCTGATGTAAGCACAGGGCACCAGGCAGCAGCTGATACATCTGTCTTACAACTGAAGAAAATAAACTTTTTCCTTTTGGAGAGACACCAAGTGGCTTGATGCAAATTCTAGTTTTTTATTGTTTTCTTCCTGAAAGATACCTCATCACAGTGAAACAGCAGGTTTCTGTCCCTAGTTCCACTGCTCCAACAAGAGAAGGAAAGCTTAGAACCCCCCCCAACCCCAGACTAGCCTATAGGTGGGGTGGCAGTCCTCAAACCCAGTACTCAGAGAAGAACAAGAGGAAACAGATAATGTGCTGACATTAACACAAAGAAGGGAAAAAACCCCAAGGCACCCACCCCCAAAGCATCTCACTGGGGTGGAGTTTTCCAAAAGAGTTTGCCAGCCCCTGCAAATCTGGCATTTTCTATGCCAAGCTGAATCTTCTGAAGAAAATGAACTGATGGCTTCTGGGACCCACGTGTCTTGGCAAGAGAATAAGGCCAAGGCTGGCTATTGAGGAGGAGAAATCTCTGCTATTCATTCCTGAGCGCCACCACACACCCAGTGGTTGTCTTTGACTCCGGCTGAAGTGAGACTAATCAGGAAACTCGATGCAGGAAAGGGGAGCTGAGGAATTTTAATCAACCTGACCAAGGGAGAGGAGGGAGCTTCAAAGAGAGCTCTCCCTGGCAGCCCAGAGAGTGGGGGCGGGGAGCAGCTTCTAGCCCCTTACTAACAGCAAAAGCTGGTAAATCTGCAGGCTCACCTGGACCCTCTCCTCACTCTTCAGACCAAGTTCATTGAATTCATCACTAGCGCTCAGATGTGTTTTCCTTACCCTAAGGAGACAGCTATTGCCCTTGGCCCGCTTCCAAAAGCAGTGGGTGGACCCCTCCTCTCATTGAGTTGGTTTGAAAGCCTCTTCATTCTGGGCAAAGGGTTTGAGGGTAGGAGGTAGGAGGGGGAGAACCAAATAAAAAATATAAAGAGACAGACTGAATCTTCAGGCAGAGCTCCCTTCCCAAGTGGGATGGAGACAGGACAGTGAAGGCAGTGGTCTAACTATGGTCTAGCCTCATCCCATTCCTATTAACCTCTCACTTCCACCCCAGAAGACCCAGCACCAACATCTGGACAGGGGCTCTTCAGGCAAAGGATAGACCAGTTCCCATTGGCCAATAAGGAAAGAGGAGAGGAGATGAGGGCAGCTGGCCACACCTTCCTCTTCAAGCTGTCCATCATCAGAATTAGCTCAGTTGTTCTTGGGAGTGGGTAGTAGCTGTCAGAAGTGGGTACAGGACTGCCCTGGTTACCGTCATACGGAGTAGCCAGGGTCCATCAGGGCTGAGGAAAGGCTGATCCTGTTCCCCCTGAGAACAAATCCTCAAGGCAGCTTGGTAAACAAAAAGTTCACAGGTCCCAAAGGGCCTGGGGTGTGTGTGTGTGTGTGTGCGTGTGTGTGTGTGTGTGTGTGTGTGTGTGTGTGTGTTCCACAGAAAAGTCCAGTGTGTGGGCGTCCTTGACAAAAGCCACGATGGGTTCCTTTGCCTGCATCATCAACGAGGACTCATCCAGGTGTGCCTCTTGCCTTTGGGAACAAGAAAAATGACAAAAAAAAGGTCAATAGTGAAAAAGGACCAAAGATTGACATAAATTTCCATCCCTGCCCCTTAGCGAGGGCTGAACCAGGAGGACAGAAATTGCCATCACTAAACTTGAATTCAAAATGTGACTGTGCTGCTTGGTATCCAAGTGCTCTGGCCTCAGCCGTCTCACCTGCAAAAAGAGAGGGTTGGATTAAGGTGCAATGTGGCACAGTGGGCTGAATACCAGACTTGGAGTCAGGAAGACGAGTTCTAATACTGCTTCAGACTTCACTTACTAGCTAGGAGAGCCTGCCCAAAAATCACTTCAATTTCCTCACCTGTAAAATGAAGGGGGGTTGGACTGGATGGCCTCAAGGGTGCCTTCCAGCCTTAGAAAGCTGCTGGTCTACAGGACTGGCCTACACAGGTGCCTTCTGACCCTATGACATTGACTGTCCTGGGGGAGGTCTCTGGCTGAACCCCACATGCCGGGATGGGAACAGAATTGCTCTTAAAAGTAACCATCTCCTGGATTGGACTCCTGCTGCATAAGTGAACCTGTCACAGCTCAGGAAGGGTTCTACTAAACCACACCTACAAAGAGCTCCTTGGTTTTCTAAAGACAGAAAGACTTTTTTCTTTTTAGCCTTCAATGAGAAAAGAGAAAAAATGGGCGTAGAATGGAAGTGTTTCTGAGACAATGCTCTGTCTGCTGTCAAACCTTCAGGGCTACTACTGCTTTGTAAGTTTACCTGTAGGGACAAGGAATCCCTTGGGAAACCCCAAGGAAACAGGAGCTCCCCTTGAATTTTCAGATCTTTGGCATCAAAGATAATAGGAGCCTGGGAAGTCACCCAATCAATAACATCCTCCCAGCCAGCCAAGGTGGCCAATTTTGGGATGCTTTGGTATAAAGGTGCCCGAGCTCTGGGTTAGGACTTAAGGAAACCTGGGTTCTAGTCCTGTCCAAACCAAATCCCAGACCTACTACTGCTACCTATGTGACCTGGGAAAAGTCACTTAACCTCTCTGGGCCTCAGTTTCCTTGCACAAGAGGGAGTTGGCTAGAGATGGCCACCATGACACCTCCTAGTTCTAAATCTATGCTACTTTGACCTCTGAGCTGCTTGCTGTTCCCCTGAATTCTGCACCCCATTTCCCATTTCCTTGCCTTTGCCCTGACTGTACCCGCTTCCTTCTATGGGCATCCTTTCCTGATCCCTCCAGTTGTATGTGTCATACCCCTGCCAAGTAAATGTAACCACCTGTCTCCATTTGTAATCACAGCATTGGATTAGATGAATTCTAAGAAACCTTCTAGCTCTAAATTTATGACCCTATGACCAATTAGTTCATTACAAACACTAATTAAGCACTTCTGTCCCAGGCACTGTGCTAAGCACTGGGAGGAAGATTGTCTTTCACCTTTCTCTGTATCCCCAGTCCTTAGTATAGTGCCTGGAATATAGTAGGCACTTAATAAATGCTTGTTGACTTGTGATACAAAGTGAGGGAAGGGAATAAGTATTTATATAGAACCATGTGCCAGGCCCTGTGCTAAGTGCTTTACACACATTATCTCATTTGATCCTTATAACAACTCTTCAAGGCATGTGCTTCTAATATCCTCATTTTACAGTTGATGAAACTGAGGCAAACAGAAGTTGACTTGCCCAAGGTCACAAAGCCAGTAAAGTGTTTGAGACTGGATTGGAATTTAATTCTTCCCAATTCCAGGCCCATTCCTCTACCCATTATGCTACCCAGATGAGAATGAAATAATCCCTACTCTCAAGAAATTTATGTTCTGTGGGCAGCTAGGTGGTGCAGTAGATAGAGCACCCGTCCTAGAATCAGGAGGACCTGAGTTCAAATCTGATCTCAGACCAGATACTTGACACTTACTAGCTGTGTGATCCTGGGCAAGTCATTTAACCCCAATTGCCTTGCTTAAAAAAAAAAAAAAAGAAATTTATGTTCTGGAAAGCTTGCTTGAGGGTCCTGTCTCCTATGTCTTCTTTCTTCCTCTCTGGTCTCAGAAGATGAGGGCCCCTGCTCCTAGAGCTAACCGTTTCACTGGGCCTTTGAGTCCATCTCCTCCTAGCATTGGCCAGCTGGGTCCTTAGTGGTCAATGACTACTATTCCCTCAGACTTCTAGGGGTAATCCCAAGGAGGGTGTTGGGCTGCATAAGTAAGTGCTTGATAAATGCTTTTTACAATCCACATAAAAAGAAAGGGTTAAACTTGATGGCTCCTAAGGTTCCTTATCCTTTTCAATGATAGCACTGTAGCTTATGAGCCCCTTGTATTGAGTGGAATAGAAATAGCACCTATCTCCCTTCTCGAGGATCAAATAAGATACAGTTGGAAAGTGTTTAGTATAGTGCCTAGCACAGAGTGTCACATAAATGTTAGCTATGATTCTTTTCTGTGAGAATCAAATGAAATAACATATGTAAAGCATGTCACAATCCTTAACGCATTACATAGAGTATATATTAATAATTATCAACAATTATTATTATTGATAGCTAATCAATAATAAACATGCTAATTATTACAAACAATGCATTGATTATTATTGATTAGCTACCAATAATTATTTATTTATAATATGTTTGTTTTAAATATAATTATTGGTTATTAATTATTGAGTCGTTACCAATAATATTTAATTAGCTTTAAAAGGTATAGCAAGGACAGTGGCCACAAAAACAATCCTCCCCTCCCCAAAGCAGGGGGTGTACTTTCCCTCACAAGTTACTGTGGAGTGTGAGCTCAAACTTAGAATAAGCACAGAGGCCTCAGTGGCAGAGGGTAGCTCATAGCTTAGTCCCTGGGAGTCCCTTTCTTCTCACCCTAGAATCCTGATAACATTCCCTTGACTACCTGCTAGTCCCCAAGGATTTGTAAATCCTTGTAAAGCCCACACCTCCAACTTAATCTCTTCCCTGAAGGGTCATCCTTCCTTCAAAGTTGCCTTTCCTTGGAGGGGTCTCATTTGTTCTCTGCGTATCTCTCCAAGCAGACCGGGACATCAGCTCCCAGCCCTGGTGGATGGGACCGCCAAATACTCTGACCTTTCGATGTTCACAAGGCTCTAACCTGCTCCATTCTGTCTCTGGGTGCTCAGCTGGCAAGTTTCTTTCTACTTCCAGCTGAATTTACTGTCTCCTACCAGTCCCATCTCCCTTACAGCATGGTTGGTGGGATCTCTGGGGCTTAGAAGAGTCCTCCCTACTAGGCTAGCTTACTATTTTTATATGTAGCCTAAGAATATCCACTTAACTTTTTTTTTTACCAGTCACGAGATATTTCCTTGCAGTATCATCTGCCTTTATCCAATGGCCACCCCCTCCCAGTCTTTCAAATTTGTTAAGGATTTATTCACACCCAGTTTACTTTTGATTGATTGTCTGATTAAAGCAAATGTCTGGACTTTCTGTGATTAATTACAGCCCATGAACTAAATATAAGCAATACTCTTTCTTTACTTGTCATTTCCCCCAATTAGAATATGAGCTTCTTGAGAATAGTGACTTTTTTGTGTGTGTCCTCTGCACCAGCACGCTGCCTGGTACACAGTCAGTGTGTGATGAATGCTCTTTCCATTTCCTGTAAAATGAAAGGTTTAAACTTGATGACTCCTAAGTAAGATGATTCCTACTTTCAACCAATGATCAGGTCAATCAAATCAGTCCACAAGCATTTATTAAGCATCTACTGTGATCCACAGTGCTAGAGACAGGGGTTACAAATACTACTCTTAAAGAACTTCGAGACAGGTGGCCCAGTGGATAGCTCATTGGGCTAGGAACCAGGAAGATTCATCTTCATGGGTTCGAATCCAGTCTCAGACACTTACTGGTTGTGTGACCCTGGGCAAGTCACTTAACCCGTTTGCCTCAGTTCCTCATCTGTCAGATGAACTGGAGAAGGGAATGGCAAACTACTCTAGTATCTTTGTTAAGAAAGCCCCCAAATGGGGTCACAAAAAGTCAGACATGAATGACGAAACAACAACAAAAGTATATAGAGAATAAATACATGGAATAAATACATGATTTAAGCTTGTAGTAGCTTGAAACAGCACAAAGGCTGTTGGGACGCTCTGTATGAGGAGAAAAAACACAAATGAATACAAGATGGCTACACAGAGGTATTTTAGGAGGGAGGAGATCAGGAAAGGCTTCAAGTAGATGGTGATGGTTGAGCCATGCCTTGAAGGCAGGGAGGGATTCTGGGAGGGAAAGTGCATTCCAGGCATGGAGACATAGCCCATGAAAAAGCATGGTGATAGGAGCTGGCATGTTGAGCGTGGAGAGCAAAGAGAAGGTCATTTTGGGTGTAGAATGTGGGAAGGAGATAATGTATGACAAGGCTGGAAAGTTAGGTTGGGGCCAGGTTGTGAAGGGCTTTAAAAGCCCAATTAGCAGAGTGCCCTGTTCCCTTCCCATTCATCCCAAGCTGGCCCAATGTGGATTTCGGGGATGATGAGAGATGCTCTGTTGGTAAGCAGTGAACTCTGAAGAAGAGTTGGTGGGAAAGGTTAGTTATCGAGGTCCTTTTTAGTCAAAGAGAGAAGGGGAGGTGTGGACCCTGAGCAGGGTCAGGGAGATGCTCCAAAGAGGAGAGAAAAACTTTCCACTTACTGGGAGCCTTGTGACTGTCGCTGTCAGAGCCATCCCCCTGCGGCTCTCCTGGGCCACTCTCTGGGCCACTTTGGACACCCCCAGCCTCACTGCCAAGGCTGGTCCCACTCTCCGAGGGGTGGCTGGGAGGCAGAGCCTGGCCTTGGGCTGCTCTGGAAAGGTCACTGCTGCCACCTGGAAGAGACCAGACAGTGGACTAGGGTATCTAGGGTACCTGCCCCTTTGGATTTTAACCTGCTCGTCTACTCCCTTCCTGGGAGCTGCCAACAGTGTCTTGCTAATTCAATGAATCAACAAGCATTTACTAAGCACTCACTGTGTGCCAGGAATTGTGCTAAGTACCAGGGATACAAAGAAACAGCAAAAATAGTCCTTGCCTTCATGGAGCTTACACTCTAACTGGGGAGTCGACTGGCCCATGTAGATGTATGTACAAGATAGGTTAACTTGAGAAGGTTAAGACGTTAGCTACTCTAGGGAGGGAGAGGCACAGGAAACCTCTTAGGGAGCAGCGCAATCCCTTCCAGTCCTAAACCTCAGAGGAGAATTAAGCCCGAGAGCCTAAGGGCCTCTAGGGGCCCTTCTACCTCTTGAGTTTTGACCCATTAAGGTCCTGATGAAGCTTCTGTATCTGCCCCCCATGATATCTGCCCTGCCTCCCCAAAGGAACCTGGTGGAGGAAGACAGACCCATCCTCCCCATCTACCATGGCACTGGGCTTCTTCAAGACTCAGACAGATAAGCCCAAGGTGGGTTAATGAAGTCATAATGAGAAATACGACTGTACCAAGGCCATACTTACCCCTGGCTCATAGAGCATACATCTAGAGCTGGGAGGGACCCCAGATGCCACCTAGTTCAAATCCTGTTTTTGTAGGAACAGACTCATGATAGCACAGTGAGATGAAGCACTTTGCCTAGCTCACCCAACACACCTCCTCCACAATAGCTTAGAAAACTCTCCAGACTGAATCGTAATTGGGAAAGCCAAGAAAAAGTCACAGTGAGTCATTTTTCCAGCCCAGGGAAGCTTAGTAAGACAGACAGAGAGGTGTGTGGAGACTAGGGCAGGAGAGGACAGGAGAACGGCACAGCGGCTGACAGAGGGCAGAAACTGAATACCTAGGCAAGTCACTTCTGCTTTCTGAGCCTCAATCTCCTATTTGTAAACATGAGAGGGCTTGGAGCAGAAGGCCTTGAATATCCTTTCCAGTCTGAATCTATGATGCCATGATACAAGGCCACTTTATGTGTTCGGGTTCCCTTCTCTGTATAATGAAGGAGGATGGGCCAGAAGGCCTCTAAGGTCCATTCTAGCTCTAGAGCTAAGGGCTAATCTAACCCCCTCTTATGCTTGCTCTGCCTATCTGGAGAAGGGTTATAACGAGCAAATGAAGAACTTGTACATTTTTTAAAACTCTAAAGTGCCAAGAGAAATGCACCTTTAATGCGGTTATCTCCGCTGAAGCCATGCAGAAGATGTAACCCTTTCCATGCATGCCCTTGGCTAAGTCCCCTGGGAGGGAGGGGGCGACCCAGGTCCTCTGACTTCAAACACAGCATTCTTTCAGAGGGGTGAGTTCCCCATCACTGAAAGTCTTCAAGCACAGGCTGAGGAACCACTTGCCTGGGACACTGCAGAGAGAATCACTGGTCTGGAATGGTTCAGATTAGATTGGATGGCCTCTGGGGTCTCTTCCAGGTCTGATGCTACAAATAAGCCCCTAGCACTTTAAGGTTTACCTTCCTAAATTCAGTTAATGATGTGTGAATATCCACCTATGTGCACCCCAGAGAGCTATGTTCAGAGACACTGCTGTAGTCTTCCCTGGACAGCCTAGACCTGCCCCTTCCAGCTTCTCAAAGTTCAGCCTCTGTGCAGGGCCAGCCACCCATCTCCTTACCTGATTTTATTCGGCATTTGCTACCTACCTTTCAAACTCTTGTCCCCAGTGTCTTCCAGGCTGGAAGAGCTCAAGGTGGAGTCACTGTCACTGTCACTAGAAACCACTGGAAGAGACAAACAGACTGAGAATGTTTATCCTTGCGCCCAGTGGATTCACACCGGGCTAGTGGACCAGCTTCCTTACCAGCAGCACATAGAAGAAGGAAGAGATTCTGCATGGGGGAAGGGTAAGTAGCTGTTCTTGACATCCACCCTGAGCAAGAGGCAAAGATCAGTTCCAATTAGAGGCAGGAGAGATTGTGATCTGACAGAAGGAAAAACATCCTCAGTGTCAAAGGGATAATAGGCTGGGATGGGGAGGAAGGGAGGGAGCTTGTTAAGGCTTTGTCTCTGGGGACCTTGTGGGAGCAGCCCTGGTTAGAAGCATTTGTGGGTGCCAGTCATTGTGACACCCCATCACATCCTGCTTACATGATTCCTTAGCTGTCTGGCCTGTCTCCCCAACTCAATGATACCACTGGATATTCGTAAAAGGCTTACAGGTTACAAAGCATTTGAATGACACCTTCTCCTCTGATCTCACCACACCCTAAGAAATAGGCAGAACAGGGCAGGAGCTAATCAACCATTCAACACCCATTTATTAAGCACCTGCTATGTACCAGACACTGTCGGGATGCAAAGGCAAAAATCAAACAGTGAGCATTTATTAAACACCTCCTAAGTCTTAGGCACTGTACTGGGTGCCGAGAATATAGATATGACAATGAACAATCTCTGCCCTCAGGGAACTTACATTCTATTGCTACTATCTACATGAAGAAACTGAGGTCCAGTGAAGAGGTCCAGCCTTTTATCTGGCCCAGGTGTTTAAGGGAGGGGGAGGAAGAATGAGTCCATACCCTGTCCCACTCCTCCAGAGTCTCACTTCACAACCGTGCATTTAAAATACATATTTTTATTGATAACTCTTGTTACCCCTTTCCCTAGAAAGCCATCTCACATAAGAGACTTTTTGAAAGAAAAGCCCAGCAAAATCAATCAAAGCATAGGGGAAAAAAACTTGATGAGGTATGCAATATTCTTCGCCCATAGACCTCCACTTCTGCCAAGGAGGAGGGGTTTTCTTGTCTCTCTTTTGAGGCCATGTTTGTTCTTTGTCATTTTGCACACTTCATTTTGGATTGTTTTGAGGATAACCCTCTTCCTACCAGAGGCCCAGAGTTGTGTTTAATTAGGAGGCAGCCTCTGAGTGATCTCAGCGTTCATCTTTTCATCGTATAAAAGGCACTTCCCACCACCCTTCACTCCAAGCCACTCTATGCTTGCCCTCTCATTCATTCTACCTGCACTGTCAGAGAGAGAATCACAGATTTCAGGGCCGAAAGGATATCCAGGCCATCGAGTCCAAACACAGCCGCAAAGGGACCATCTCTAAAACCCTGCCAGTTTTAATTTTCTGAACCTATGATTCACTCAATTAGATTTTAAAATATACTAGAAAGCAATCATTACAAAACTATTCGGCACATTCATTCAATTCAACTTATTCATGCACTCACATATTCAAACAGTTTATTATTAAAAGCACCTACCATATGTCAGGCATTGTGCAAGGCTCTGGAAATACAAAGGCACAAATGAGTCAGTCCCTGCCCTAATGGAGTTTACATTCTATTGAGAGAAAACCAACATGGACACAGATCTTTTTTTGAGGATGCAGGAGGTATCTGAGGCTCTGGGTCCTCATTATGGGTATCAAACCCTGCTGTAAGAATTGTAACTATTAGTCTGAGCACCTGGGGCAAGTTGCATGAAATGTTCCCAAGGCAACATGAAACATACCCCCCATATTAACTTTTTTTTTTTGGTGAGGCAAGGGGATGTTGGGATACAATTCCCTATTGTGAGGAGACAGAGTTCCTGCAGAAACCACAGGACAAAGGGGGATCGCCATGAAGAGTAGAAGGAATAAGGTGGGGTGGGGGTTGGGAGGAGCTCAATTAGGGGAGAAGCTGCTGCAGAGAGGAGAGGAAGGATGCCATTCATTAGCTTCCTATTTTAACTAATTATTATTGCTAACTCAGTCCTAGGCTCAGCTGTTTTGATCTACTGAAGGAATCCAAGTATAGTTGTACCCTCTACACTTCTATGCCCTGGGGACAAACTCTGATCGCCCCACTTTAGTTATGGCTCTTTGTAAAAGTAATACTGCAGTAGTCCAAAGATCTGTGATTTCATCAGTATAGGTATTCCTTTTACCAGAGCAGGTCTCAACCCCTCTGTGGCTCAGTAGATGGTCTTCAATAGTACCATGGTAAAAAAGAAAAAAAATCCTTACCCTATGGGCAACCTGGTGACGAGTTTCTCTAAATGTAGTTGGGCTGGTCCCCAGACAACAGACAGTGATTCATTACCGAAAGCTTCGAACCTGCTGGTGCCTCTGAGAGCCTGTGTTTACTTGTCCACTATGAGGAGGCTTTGGAGGGAGATCTTCATATTTTCATAATAATTCTTACTTCTTTCACTTAAGCGAATCAGTGAATCACCTATTTCTCTAAAGTGAAAAGGAGCCTTAGGGATTATTTAGTCTGACCACCTCATTTCATGAGGATTTCCCATTTTCCCACATAGGATCTCATCTGATCCTCACAACTGCCCTGGGACTTAGGTGGGCACAATATTTCACAGGAAAAAATGCTAAGAGGAAGCAGAAAGTGGGAGATTGAAAGCTGGTCTTCAAGAAAGGAAGATCTAGGCTCATTTCCTGCCTTAAATGTATAATGGCTTCAACCTCCCTTTCCAGATTTATTTCACATTGCTCCCCCAAACACGAGGCAGTGTGGCACAGTGGGTAGAGCTGGTCTCAGACACAGGAAAGTCTGGATTCAAGTTCCACCTGGGACACCTACTGTCTAGGTGACTCTGGGAAAGTCCCTTAACCTCTCCGTCCCTTAAGTAACTCTCTAAGAGGGAGGTTGCAGAGAAGGTGCCAACCTGCTTTAGTGGAGGGAACTCCCTCACTTGGGAGCTCTCTACATAAAAAAAAAATCAGGTCCAATCCAAAATAATAATTATAATGACATATAGGTATATATGTATATATGTGTATGCACACATACAAATATACATGTATGTTATGTGTATATATGTATGCATATATACATACACAATATATGTATATGAGTCCAAGTCAGTTAATGTGGCAGAGAACTGGTCTTTGAGCCATGAAGACCTGGGTTCAAGTGTTACCTTTGACACATATTGGCTGTGTGACCCTGAGCAAGTCATTTAACCTCTTAGTGGCCCTAGGTGACTCTTTAAGACTAGAAGTCACAGAGGAAGTGCAGATATTCCTTGGTAGAGGGAGCTTCCCCATCCGGGACTTCCTCCCTCATCGGTGAAATCACATGTCCAGTCCTAATTCCACCTTTAAATAGTGTTTTAAACTTTGCAAATAGCTTTATAGACACCTGCTCATTTGAACCTCCCCGCGAGGTTGGTGATGTTCTTATCCCCATTTTATAGATAGAAACAGAGGCACAAACACAGAGAGTGGGGAATGTCTTGCCCAAGGATATTTGGTGGCGAGCTCGAGAACTCATGTCTCCTGACTGCCAGGTTAGAGCATGGTGAAGGACAGTGGTGGCTCCTGCTGTGACTATAGTGACACTCGCTGCTGCCTGGGTTTTTGGCAGGGTGCCTTGAGATGGAGCTACCCAGATGACCCCAGCCAAGCAATGGAAGGGTTGGGCAATTCACTATCTGATAAACCAAATCACCTTGCAGCACTGCCTAACAGCAATCTCCCTTCAGGGAAACTCTACAGAAACCTCCCCAATGAAAAAGAAGCTCATGTGGGGAGAGGAAGAGCCCTCATCCAGTTATCTCTGCTCTAGGGGCTGGGGTAGGCAGGCTCTTCCTATCTGTTACCTCTTAAAGATGACCAATAAGGTGGGGATACTTAGATGAAAGGCCCATGGAGGCCAAGGCAGGCCACTTTCTAGCTGGGTAGCCTTAGGCTTCATTTGGCTTCAGAACTGGAAGGGAATGATGAGTTCGGGGGGGGGGGCAGGGACCATCCTCTGCCTTTCCTTATATCCCCAGCACTTGGCACAGTTACAAATATGACCTCATTTGATCCCCACAACAACCCTGAGAGATAGGTGCTATGATTATCCCCATTGTATAGGAGAGGGAAGTGAGGCAAACAGAAATTAAGTGACTTGTCCAGGGTCTCACAGCTAGTAAGAGTCTGAGCTAGATTTGAAGTCAGTTCTTCCTGGATTCAAGCTTAAGACTCTATCTGCTTCACCATCTAGCGGCCTCATTGCTCTCAAATAACTCTCTAATTCTAATGTTTCAGAGATATCGCATATCTGCTTTTCCCAAATAGGGGATGCCCACATACTGATGAAATCACAAGTCTGAACAAAAATAAAAATATGATGTGAAGGGTATGGTTAAGGAGGCTAGGAACAATGAACCATAGATGTGTTTACATAGAAAGTACTGATCACTTTTGGACTGAAGTGAAGTTCATAATGAGAAAAGATTAATTGTTTTTTGCTTTGGTTTTTGGTTTTGTTTTTGTGTTTGTTTTTTATAAAAGGCAGAGAGCAGGGTCAAAGGGGACCAGTCTGGCTTTCATTGAAGCCCCTGGACCATGCAGGTGCCTTTGCCTCCTGGGGTCATTTCGCTCACAAAGGTCTTAGAGAGGAGGGTACCAGCTGTCAGAAAATGTTCTTGCTTTTTCCATCAGCCCCCCCTCTGCCACATCTTCTCTCATTGTGTCAGGGATTTCAAGCTGGGATCAGGCCGGAGCTTAGAGGGCTTTGCAGCAAATCTCATTTCTAATCTACTCTAATAAATTCTGCTAAAGAAACAAACTGAAAGGAAGAAAAAGAAAGGAAAGGAAAGCAAAGTTCACAGTATCTATGCCCAGTGCTGAAGCATCAGTGTCAGTGGGGGAAAAAAGACACTTACGATGTGCCAGAGGGATGGGAATTCCTGGATGGAAGCCCAACACACACACAGTTCCCCAAATACTCCTGGCTTCCTTCAGAGATGGGGTTGGGGGGGGGGAGCCCATATTCCAAAAACATCCCCATGAAACCCAAGCTGTCCTAATCTGTGATTCTACTGCCACGCTTGTTCCTCTGTTCCTCCCTCCCTCCTCAGTACAGCTCATAAATCTTCTAGGTCTATTAACAAAGCTTTTAGGCTCATAAATCTTTTGGCCCCTGCTCTTCCATCCTCAACAAATGATATTCATTCATTCTCTCTCTCTCTCTCTCTCTCTCTCTCTCTCTCTCTCTCTCTCTCTCTCCTCCCTCCTCTCTCTCTGTCTGTCTCTCTCTCCCTCCCTTTTCTTTTCTCTGTCAGTCTGTCTCTGTCTCTGTATCTCTCCCTCCCTCTTCCCTCCCTCTTCTTTTCTCTTTCCCTCCTTCCTCCTCCTCCTCCTCTCTCTCTCTCTCCCCCTCCCTCCCTCCCTCCTTCTTTTTCCCTCCTCCTCCTCCTCTCTCCCCCTTTCTGTCTTCCTCCCTCTCTGTCTCTCCCTCCCTCCTGTTCTCTCTCTCTTTCTCTTGTCTGCCTCTCTCCCTTTCTCCCTCTCCCCTACATTCTCTCTCTCTCTCTCTCTCTCTCTCTCTCTCTCTCTCTCTCTCTCTCTCTCTCTCTCTCTCCTCTCTCTCTCTCTCTCTCTCTCTCTCTCTCTCTCTCTCATTCCCCAAAGGATCAGACTGGGATTACAAAGCAATGAGCTCTTGGATAGGGTCCACACTTATTTTTCAGATTGAAAAAAGAAAGGAATGGTTCCTACTACCTTCCAAAAAAGAGGCAGCTTGAGTTAATGGATAGTGAAGCCTGAACTAGATTAAATTGCAATTGGGAAATATTTAACAAAATAGATAAAAATGCAGTAGAACATAAATAATGTTAATATGTGGTTTTCTAAGTCAATATGCCTCTGGAAGGGATCCTTCTATGTGGTTTAGTGCCCTCCCTCCCCAACTCTATGAGTCTGACAGCAGGATAGAGGGCTGGAAGACCTGGTCAAGAAGACCTGGATTTGAATCCTACTTCAGATTCCTACTAGCTGTGTGGCCCTGGACAAGTCACTTACCCTACCTCACCCTCAGCTTCCTCATGTGTAAGATAAAGTTGGACTAGATGGCTTCTAATGTCTCTTTTAATTATAAGCCTATAATTCCATGGTCCTAGCTGTACAACTGTGCTCAAGTCACCTCACATCCCGGAGTCTCTGAGCCTCGGTTTCGTCATCTGTAAAATGAGGGTGAACTAGATGGTCTCTAACATAATTTGGCTCCAGATCTCTGGTTCTGTGATTCTGATTGTGTGACTCTGAGCAAGTCAATTCCCTTCACTGGGTCTGTTTCTTCATTTGTAAAATAGGGGTGAAAATAACAGCCACCCCACAGGGTTGCTACAAAGATCAAATGAAGCTCTTTCTGACCCCTTGCCGTTAGTGCCCTCCTCACAAACCACCTTCCAGTTTTTCTATTTTATATCTGCTTGTTTGTCAACAGATTATTTCCCTCATAGAATGTAAGCTCCTTGAGGGTAGGGGCTGTTTCATTTTTGTCTTTATAGGCTCCTAGGCCAATAGTACTTGGATGCAATAGCTGGTGCTCAATAAATGTTTGTTGGTTGATTGGATCTCCAGTGCCAAGCACTGTCATGTATATAGAAGGTACTTAATTAATGCTTATTGGCTGATTAAAAGTACTTTGACAGTGGCAGCTAGGTGGTGCAATGGAAAGAGCACCAGCCCTGGAACGAGGAGGACCTGAGTTCAAATCTGGCCTCAGACCAGATACTTGACACGTCTTATCTGTGTGACCCTGGGCAAGTCACTTAACCCCAACTGCCTAGCCAAAAAATAAAAAGTACTTTAACACCCTTACATTATAGTACTATATAAAGTCACTTTATGATGGAGAGGATGTCATCCAAATGGACCTGCCCTATGGCCCACTTGGGCTTGCAGGTGGTAGGAGGAGATAGTGGGCAGGAGCAGAAGAGATATTATGGTCATACTCCCTCAAAACTTGAAATTCTGGGGATCTTCTCCACCGGCTTGGGGGAAGTGACAGTACTGCCCCATCCAATGCTGGCTGGCAGCTGAAAACAGAAGCCCGGTATTCAGAAATAGTTTGTACCACCACCCCCAGCACTAACCACTGCCCCATACTTTCTCATGCCCGGCCTTTCTCCTTAGCTAGGAAAGCACCACCTGGGCCAAGCAGCAGCAGCCCCTTTTTGGGGGACAGGCCAGTTCTGTGTGCCTGATTTGCTCTTAAATGGATTATCAGCTTGACTGTCACCATGGAAACTCTGAGTCTAAGTACTCAGAGGGGGAAGAAAAAAAAATCTTTTTTTTTTTTAAGAAAGTCACTCCTGACTGCCTCAAACAAAGAAGAGGGACAATGGGGCCAGAATGCAATCATTGGATTTGGAACTTGAAGGAACTTAGAGATCACAGATTGAGAGCAAGAAGGGGCTCAGAGGTCTAGGATCTATAAAGAGGTCACCTGTTCATGTTACAAAAAAGGGAAACTGAGGTCCAGATAAAGAAAGAGACTTGCCCAAAGTCTCACAGCTAGGAAGTAAGAAAACCAGGATTACAACCCAGGTTGTGGATCTCCAAATGCTGCCATCTGCGCACTGTACCCAGCTGCCTCCCTTGCAGAAGTAATACTAACCTTGGACAAGTAAAGGAATGACCCAATGAAGCATTAGCACCCAGAGCAGTGCAGGGTTAAGTGACCTAGTTTGGGCATCAGGAAACCTAGGGTCTGGTTCTAGCCCTGCCTCTAATGTACTGTGTGACTCTGGGCAAAGTACTTTCCCTCCCTGGGTCTGAGTCCCATCTACTATAAAAAGAAGAGGTTAGGAAATTGAAAGTTGCATGAAGTGTAATGATCAGGCAGTAGAAAGAGCTTTGGTTCTGGAGTCAGTCCAAATCCTACCCATGATGATTACCCCAAGTGACTTTGGGCAAATTATTTTATTTCCCTGAGCCTTGGTTTCCTCAGTTGTAAAATGGGTGAAGGAGGGTCACCTCTGAGGTCCAGATCCATAAAGTAAGAGCCTGACATGGTCAGATCTGTTTTAGGACCATCAGTTGAACAGCTGTGCAGAGGATGGACTGGGGAGGGGAGAGTCTAGAAGCAGAGAACAGTGAGGAAGGTTTCTAAAGGCTCCTTCTCCTTTGGGTGGAGAGGTGAGTGACTGTAGGCACAAGCTGTCACACACACCCTCAGCCATGGCTTGTGTGTCAGCCTTGGCTGGTTTGGCTGAGTTGTGTTTTAAACATATCTCTGTGATAAGGGAAGGTTTGCTAGTCAGGGGAGGGGAAATTCAGAAATGAAACGGGATGTGAAACCAGAACATCTATTAAAACTTTCAAAAATGCAAAAAAAAAATAAGGAGGTTGGACTAGGTGACCTCGGAGGGCTCCTCAAGCTTTTAACCATCTTCTGATTCTACTTTAAGCTCAGATTCTCATCCATCACAGTAAAACACCCTTGACAATTCTGAAGACTCTTCAGGCCTGAGCTGCAGCTGGAAAGCAGGGCAAAGACCATTTCCAGGCTCTGCTTGAACTGGAGGTGGCCAGCCCAGTCCAGGGACAAGAGCTTGAGAACTCCAGAAGCAGTTAACATGTTGATACTGTCTCAGTGTTTCCATCCCCCCCCCAAAAAAAAAATTATGGGAATTAGGGAGGTGCTGAGATATTTTCAGCAAACATGCCACCAAAGAAAAGCAGATGGTGGAAAATTTCACAGGCTGAAAAATAAGACAGAAAAAAAATGCAACAGAAAAATAGCAAAGCCTTAGGGACTCAGAGATGTTAGCCCCTGCCCATCTTGAGGGGAGGAGGAAGAGGTTAAGACAGCAGATGTAGGCTTGTAGGCAGTGTCCTGGGAGCTGTCCCCCTCAGCACCACCACCACCCCCATCATATGCTGCTCACACAGTAGGAGCCTGAATTCAGCCAGGTTAGAGGATCACTGACCCACTGAGTTATTTCTAGCTTCCTTTTTAGTTCCCCAAACACACAGCCACTGGAGCTCCTGCCAGCAATACTGAGCTCTAGTGGTCCAACTGAGCTCACAGATGCTGCAGGGATGGATGGCTTAGAGGCTGAGTCAGGGGAGAAGAAAGAGGCAGGTCTGTTGGTAGTGAGAAGGCAGCTCCAGGAAAGAACCACCACTAGGTGGCACAGTGGTTTGAGCGCTTGATTTGGAGTCAAGAAGACTCCAGTTCAAATCCTGCCTCAGAGAGTCCTTAGCAAGGGACTTTTTGGGCCTTGTTATCCTCATATGTAAAATGAAGGGAAACCCAATTTCCTGCAAGGTCCTTTTCTGTTCTATCTCTACGATCCTTCTCTAACAGCATGAATTTAAGTTACTATTATGCACAGTGCCTGGTATATAGTAGGTACTTAATAAATGTTTATTGACTTGACTCATTACATGTTTCTAGACCTATTCTGTCTCCAAACTTCCCCATTTCTATTGAGGACATCATCCTTCTAGCCACCCAGGTAAGCCCTCTTCCACATCATTTGAGGGAGCTCTGGGGTCATTTAATCCAATCATTTTCCAGATAAGTAAAATGAGGCCCAAAGTGGTTAGAAATGCTCTGGCTTTTCAGGCTTTTCCTGAAACATGGAACCTAAAGACAGGCATGACACTAGAGACAGGGCCCAGAGAAATAAAGAGAATTGTCCAAGGTCACCCAGCTGCTGAATGACCCAGGCCCAGACTAGCACTCAGGGTTCCTGACTCCTAACTCATAACTCCTTGGCCCTGAGACAAGCTCTGTTCATCACCTATAATGCTTACATGGTGGCTTGGAAAGGAGCTGGGACAACTACAGTGCATCTGTGACAGTCCACTCACTGATACTTTTAATGTGTTCACTAGAATTTTTTCCACTCAACCTTACTGAACCGTAAATCAATACCTCCACCTCATAGGGAGCAGAGTTTTTCAGCATTAAAAACTGTTGTTATTCAGTCTTTATTCAGTCATATCTGACTCTCCATGACCCCATTTGGGGTTTTCTTGGCAAAGACACTAGAGTGGTTTGCCATTTTTTTCTCCAGCTCATTTTACAGATGAGGAAACTGAGGCAGAGTTAGGTGACTTGCCCAGGGTTACACAGATAGTAAGTGTCTGAGGTTGGATTTGAACCTAAGAAGATGAGTCTTCTTGACTCCAGGCCTGATGCTCTATCCATTGCAGTGCCACCTAGCTGCCCTGAATTAAAAATAGGTGTATTTATGAAAGGCAGTTCAATAATGGGGAGCACATAGGCTGTTCAGGACAAGAGCCTGCACCTCTAAAACGAGATTACTTAGAAAGGAAAACAATAATAATGATGATGGGGCAGCTAGGTGGCGCAGTGGATAGAGCACTGGCCCTGATGTCAGGAGGACCTGAGTTCAAATCCGGCCTCAGACTGAACAATTGACACTTACTAGCTGTGTGACCCTGGGCAAGTCACTTAACCCCAATTGCCTAAAAAAAAAAATAAAAATGATGACAATAACTAGCATTGCTATGTCACTTTCAGGTTTACTACACCTGTGCTATTTCATTTGATCCACACAACAATCCTAGGAGGCGGGGACTATTATGATCCCCATTTTACAGATAACTGAGGTTGAGAGAGTTTATGTGACCTGATCAGGGTCAGATAGTAAGTGACAGGATTCAAATTCAAGTCTTGATGACTCCAACCCTAGTGATCAATCTAGTGCCATCTAGTGGCTGAATATACTGGAACATAATTACACAAAATGAGCTCCTAGTGATAGGATCATAAATGTAGATCTGGGAGGGACCTCAGAGCGCATCTAGTCTGAACCCTCATTTTACACATGGGGAAATAGAGGCCCATGGAGGTTGTATATACCTTAGGCTCATTGATGGTGACCTGGAAGAGACTTCAGTACCTCGTTCAAATCTTTCATTTTACAGAAGAAATAGGGAGGTTAAGTGACTTACGATCTGAGATTTAGAGGCAGAAGGTACTTCAGAGACAAGCTAGTCCAAGTCCTCATTTTACACATGAGGAAACTGAGGCTCAGGCAGTTTGTATATAACATAGGATCTCAGAAACCATCTAGTTCAAACAGCGCATTTTATAGACGAGGAAAATGAGGCCCAGAGCGGGGATTTGAACCCAAATCTCTCCTAATATCAAGCCCACCACTCTCTACCACACCCCACTGTCTCTCAGGTTGCTGAAGATAAAAGCACCATTAGATGTCTCTCACTTATGTAGAAATGAGAGTTATTATAGCCACTTCTACTGTTATTCTGTTACGAAAAGCATTAGTATAAGCCATATTCAGGTTTTGCACAAACTAGAGCCAGGGAAAAAGTATGACTTATTTGTGAACCAGAGACGTGACTAGGATGGGATGGCCAGCGCTTTGACTCAGGCTGTTAAACTTGAAAGGACAACAATAACACCTGTCCTATTAGTTGGTAGTACTTCAGCAGGCAGAAACAAATCCACTTACCCCATCTGGTTAACAAGAAGACTTGGTTAAGATAGGAAGCTCCCTTTGCTCTCTCAAAGTGTTTCGCAGTCTCTCTCTTTTTCTCTCCCTTATGGGGTGTCTTCCCCATGAGGGAGGTCCTGGGATTCCCTATCTGCCTTCTGGTGCTCATTCAGGGCCCCACAATTGCTCATTGTGGATCTGGGATGAATATAATTTTTAAATGTCCTTTGTGCTAAGCCACTAGCTGCCTTTATTTCCTTCCCCAAGTTTCTGGTCCAGGCTCTAGCCCTGTAGGTTAAGTCCAATGCTTGGCTGACTCTCCCTAAGATCTAATCCAATACTCCTTCCTGTCCTCAGGAAAGGACCAGGATTGGCTCTTTGGCAGCCAATCAGAAGATTGGATAACTGGAGAAACCCACATTTGAAAGCAACGGTGGGGGAGGGGGACACATAGTCCAGTCAGTTTGAGTCAAGGAAGCAGGTGGGAAAGAGTGTCTCAGAAGGGAGGTTAGAAGAAGGATTTGCTAAGAGGGAGGCCAAGAGTTTGGAATACGGCTGGAACTAGGCTCTTCAGGCTTGTTCTTGCATAATAATAATAATAATAATAATAATAATAATAATAATAATAATAATAATAATAAATATAGCTATATTTTTAAATGCAGGTTTTGTAAGGAAACAGCAGAAAACTGTGCAACATATCACCTCAGGCTGTGAAGACTTAATACCTACCAGACACTTAAAATGAAAGACACAATCAGAATTATACACCAGGAACTTGCTATTCCTTATAAACTAGGAGATGATAAATTCCCCTATTAGAAATGCAAACTCCCAAATACTCTTGAGAATTCAATAAATGGACTCTTGGAATAGAAGCATTATCAGAAATGAAATCATTGCTTACAGTGGTTCAGACATAATATTGATCTGTGTTAAGTAACTTAACAATGATGTTTTTAATGGAAGTCAACATGGACGCAACCTCCAAACTATGTGTAATGAGAAGCTCTGAAAACATAGAGTCCTATTGATCAGAAGAGGTCAAAATCATGTGGAAACAGGTGCATATCGTCCTCGTCATCTTGTCTGCTCCTGTACTTGTCCCAAAGTTGCTTTCTATGATTCTACAGAAAATAAAGCCTTGGAAGTCTTTCTCAACCCCTCTTAATTCCAGTGCCTTCTCTCTCTCGTTTCCTATTTATCCTGCATGTAACTTTGTACATATTTGTTTGCATGTTGCATCCCCCATTAGATTATAAGCTCCTTAAGGGCAGGGTCTGTATTTTATCTTTTTTTGTATCCTCAGTGCTTAGCACAGTGCCTGATACATAGTAGGTGCTTAATAAATGTTTATTTAGCAATTGATTGACTGAAATAAGCTTACAGCCAGTGCTTTTATTCAATTATAAAAAACATCATTTCCTCCACCTGTTTGCTGAACACTAGACATACAGAAAAGTGATGGTAAGTTGGTAACTTGTCCCAGGACTGTTTCCATATGATCCATTTTGAATGTAAGAGGACAAGAAGGAGAATAAAAATGACTAATAATAATAATAATAATAACAGACATTTATGTCATACACTTTAAGGTTTCCAAATGCATTATCTTATTTGATTCTCACAACCACCTACTGAGGAAAATGCTATAGATTTTATCACACCCATTTTATAGATGAGGAAACTGAGACTCAGAGAGGTGAAATGATTTGGCCAGGATCACAGCTAAGTCTCCCTGACTCCAGGATTCAAGTTAGCTATGCCATGCTTGAAGGGGAGAGGCCTTCAGGAATGGCCGGTTTGGGTTTTAGCTTCCTGGGAAGGTTTCTTTTCTCAAATTCCTATTCCAATGTAGACTCACAGTGGGGAGGAGACCCTGGGTTCCTCAAGGCTATGCTGATAGAATACAAGCTCTGACAAGTCCCACTCAAGTACAAAGGCTTTGAACCTAGACCTGGTTGGGGATGTCCAGCCCAGTTAAGTTCAGACACTCATCACCGGATCACTGGCCATTAGGGGACTAATTAGTCTTTTGGTCACAGGAGGGAGTGCCCATTCCAAAAAGACCACAGACCTTTCAAAGTGACCCTTTGCCTGTCCTGGGCTCTGACCTTTGGGTACTGAACTGCATGAGGATGAGAAATCTCTTTCTCAGTGTTCCTCTCCATGGGAGTCCAGTCTTGACCTCCTTTGGAGCTCAGTTTCCTCATGTATAGAGAATTGGTAATAGAATACATAATGTTCAAAGTCAATTCCAGTTCTGACAGTCTTAGTGGTTGGCCAATCAAAATGGGAGCAACATGTGGATGGTTCAATTCTCTGGGAAGACAGGAGACTGGGGAGGGGAGCTAGTAAGACCTCAGAGCCAGAGGGGGGGCTTTTAGAGAAGCCCCTTTGGCTACAAGGTCACAACGCAGCTTCCCTGCTGATAGACCACTGGGAAACAGACACTGCCACAGAGGGAAAAGCACAGTGACAATAGTCCATAGCCCAAGCTTTCCTGGACAGCTCTGCCAGCATTTGAAAGACAGACTCAGCAGCTTGCCAAACTCTAGGGCAGGGTCAGCTGAGGCCATCTCTGTTTACCCACCAACAGGAAGGAGGCTGCTGCAAGCTGGGTGCCACAGGGACCTCCCTGGGAAGCACGGCTGCCTCAGCCCAGCCTGCTGCTGCTTCTATGGGTGCTCAGCCTGGAAGGCACCTTCCCTAGGCTGGCTGGTGGCTCCTCTCAGGACCCCATGGTGGAAGGCTGGGAGGAGGCAATTTTAGCAAATTCTGGCCAGGCAAGGGGGAGGGAAGGGAGTCTGAGGAGGGAGCTACGGAGTGCAGACCTGTCCTGTCCGTTAAGACCCCTTAAGAGGCTCATAAGTTCTGGGGCTGGAAGGGACCTAATTAGTCCAACTCCTTCATTTTGCAGACAAGGAAACTGAGTCCCAGAGGAGTGAAGTGATCTGACCAGGGTCACACAGCTAGGATTACTGATTCAGAATTACAAGGAAGAGTTGGAAGTCTGCTAGTCCAACCCCTCATTGACAACACTGAATTGACCTGGTTGCTCCTCTGCTCAAAACTCTTCACTAGCTCTCTATTACCTACAGGCAAATGTAAGCCTTGGCTTGACAGTTTAAATTCATGGATTCCTTAACAGTATATTCAAGGTTCCCCCTGCTGCCTTCTGGCTTCTACCTATGTTTCTGGTCTGTCTTCCTATTCTCCCAGTTTAAACCCCTTCCTTCAAACCAAGTGGCCCACCTACTGTCCTCCAAACATCATGTGCATTCGTGTGCCTAGACCTCTCACCTCTCCACGGAGATACAACGTGTAGGGCACTTAGCATGTGCTGGCCAAATAGCCTTAATAAATGTCTTTTCCTTTTCTCCCCTTCCCCTCTCTCGGAATGACCTTTCCCACTATTCTCACCTAAGTCAACGTCCCTCATCTTTCAAGGGGAGTTCAAATCTCATATTTTTCTTTAAGTTCAGGCAGGAATCATAGACTCCTAGGCCTAGAATTGGAAGAGACGTCAGAAGCTGTCTAGTCCAACCCCCTCATTTTACAGATGGGGAAACCAAGGCCCAGGGAAGTGAAATGATTTGCCTAAGGTCTCATGGGTATTGAGGGATTTGAACCCCCCAACCAGATCACTTTCTACTGCACCAGGGAAATTGATAAAGGCATAATCCCCAGCCTCAGAAATCATTCACTTAACTTTCCAAATAATAAACAGGTGGTACAAGATTTCCCCAGATATTGGGAGAGTCTGGGGTGGGAGGTGGGAATACCCTTTCCTGGGAGAGAGGGGAAGTGGAGGGGAATGGGGGAGGAGTGTAAGCCCAGCTCCAGGAGAAAGAGCTGCCAGGATGGCTTGGGGGAGAGGCTCCCATCCTGGGAAGGGGGCAGGGGGTTAATGTCACATTATTGCTGTCCTCTCCCTGTTATTTCTCCCTTGGAGATGATCACTGAGGCTTTATAGCAGGAATAAAACAAAAGAAACCTTTGTCCACCAAGCTATCCTTTGCTTTCATGGGAAGTACACCATGGCCTTTAGGCAGGGGACATCTCCTATAATTCCATTGGCCCACTGATCTCTCCTCTGGGCTTCCTCCTTCTACTTGGGGTCCTTTTCTCTTGGCTGGGGGCAAGGGGTTCTCTTCTCAAGTAGGCAGGGGGACATGAGTTCAGAGACAGTTGAGGCTGGGGGCACACAGTGTGCCCTTTCCCAGCTGGGGAGGGAGATTCTGAAAGCACAGCTGCCTGAGCCCCTTGACTCCCTGCAGTGTTGCATGGTCCCCTGGGGTTGTCCCTAGCTGGTGTAGTGAGGCTGTCTTGCCCCTCCCCTCTTGTCCCCCAACCTAGGAAATCCAGACCATAGAACATCGCCTCCCTTCAAAGAGCCTCGAATGCTGCACAATCCACGCCTACTGCATGACATCAGGAGACCCACATGACTGCCTGAGCTAGCAGAGGCCAGAGGTGACCCTGTGAATGGAATGAGGTCAGCAGCGCTATCTGTAGAGGTTTGCTTGGAAGCCAGACTGTGACTTCAGGAAGCAGGACACGGTGGATAGGAGGCAGGCACTGGAGGCAGGGTTCTGGCTGGGGCACTATAGGTGAGTCACTTAGTCTCACTTTAGTCTGCTCATCTGTAAAATGGGGGCAGGAGGTGGACTTGAGTGCCTCTATGTTTCCTTGTAGCTCTAACCCTAGGATTCTATGTCAGGGCCTTGATTCATTCACCTAATCTACCTCACAAGAAGAAGCTGAAACACCTTGGGGAGTTACATGACAGGACCACACAGTCAGACAGCGATTTGAAGCCAGAGGACCCAGGTTCAAATCCCTGCTCCATCAGTTACTACATATTTGACTTTCCTCAGCCTCAGTGTCCTCATCTGTAAAACAGTGGGTCACTAATTCTAGAGGACTGATGATGAAGACTGTTAACCACCTCCTGACAGGGAGGTTAACTGATTTCAGATCAAGAATGAGACATGCATGGGACAGCTAGGTGGTGCAGTGGATAGAGCACTAGCCCTGAATTCAGGAAGACCTGAATTCAAATCCAGTCTCAGACCCTTACTAGCTGTGTGACCCTGGGCAAGTCATTTAACCCTGAGTGCCTCGCAAGGGGAAAAAAAAAGAATGAGACATACATTTTTTGGACATGGCCAAAGTGGGGATTTTTCTTTTTTCTTTTTCTTTTTTTGCTTTTTTAGGCAATTTGGGGTTAAGTGACTTGCCCAGGGTCACACAGCTAGTAAGTGTCAAGTGTTTGGTTTGAGGCCAGATTTGAACTCAGGTTCTCCTGACTTCAGGGCTGGTGCTCTATCCACTGCACCACCTGGCTGCCCCTGGGATTTGTTTTTCTTGACTACGCATATTTTATTTTTCCTTTTATTTTCTCTCAATGAGTGGGCAGATGAAATGTGAGGGAAAGAAAAAAATGCTTGTTAATTTAAAAAAGATAAAGATTTTTTTTAAATGAGTGGGTTAGACTCATTTGATGAGGGGACTCATTTAATGATGAATTATGCCTGAGAGACTTCAGAAAGGGGGACCACCTACCCCAGGCTGTCCTCTGGCACCCACCCCTTTGCCAACAGTCCCTCTCGGGTCCCATGTCTTTGATGAGCCTGGCCATGCGCACTCATAATTTCAGACTCCTCAAGTCTCAGCCTGGCTGCCTGGACACTGTACTCAACAGGGGAGGGGCTGTCATTTTCAATTGTTTTAACGAGAGAGGACAGTTGTGCCCAGATGTGCACCTAGCCCAGATGCTGCAGATAATGAGTCCCTTCTGCTCCTCAGGAGCGGATGGTTAGGAAAGCCCCGAGCCACAGCCACATAACAAGATGAGGAGGAGGGACAACAGGACCAGGGACAGCGGCGGATGAGGCAGCAGGAAATTAGGCCTGGGAGAGCAGGAGGCTGTTGTCTCCATCTCTGGGGTGGGGCCTGTCAATTAGTTCTCATGCTGAGGATATCGGGCAAGCATTTCTCTAGTGTGCAGCAATTACCTCAAAGAGCAGAGGAAAATTAGTTTGTTGGGGGAGGGATGGGAAAGGATTTGTTTCATTTCTTAAAGAAAATCTGCCTAGGGAAGGTTTTTCCTAAACCTTGTGGAAAGTTTAAGAAATCTTAACCTCTCCCATT